CTCCTGTGCTCCCCCGTCCTCTGCTGCAGTCTTTGACACAAGGACCCGGATTGCCGAACCCTCCTGGAGTGGAGCCTGCACACCCCACGTGAGGACCCCAACACTTTGCCTTCCCTTCCCTCCCTTGGCTCCACCAGGGCTTGGATTTCTCCCGTCCACCTCCTGTTGGCTTCCCGTCGCAAAACACATCAGAAAGGAGAACTTAAAATGTGTTAGCTCGGCCTGTCGTACTCACAATGGTGCTGCTGAATGCCACTTGAGACTGGTTGCTGTCACGACGACCGAGGGACCTGTTCCTTGTATGGCCCTGAAAATGAGCCCTAGCGCTCTGGCATCTCCTTAAAGGTCTCACAGTCCTCTGCTTATAAGCGACTGGTCTCTCAGTGTTCATGGGAGGAAGAGTGAAGCGTTGAAGTTTTGCAAAGTCCTCCTCATCTAAATCCATCTCTTTGTGTGTTTCCAGGCGCCTGGCTGTAAAAAGAGAAAACAAAATCTTACCTCCTTACTCTCTTTTTTCGCATTGCCCGGGAGGAATTTCTTGCTTGCTTAAAAAAAACTGAAACAAACTAAACCAAAACCAAAACATCTCAAAAGCCAGCACCTGAAAAACTTCACTATCCACTTCAGTTTCTGGCAGCTCCCACTCTCCAGTGTTTATTATGGTGAGAAAACCAAAATGCATTATCAAAGCAATCAGTCACTTCTATGGACTTCTGCTAATGCATGGTCCCGTTAGCTGCATTTTGCAGTTGACTAGAACAGGAGAGTGAAATATGGAAATTCACAAATTCGCTAATGTTTTCAGTCACAGAACACAAACATCATTTTGGCAGCCGCGTGCCAGCTTAATAAAATCCCTCATGCTGTGGAGAGAGAGAGGAAGTAGCGACCAAGACTGAGACTGAGCCAACCCCTCAGATTCAGAGCATTGAATGCCAGGAGACTTCAGACACAGACTGCAGCTAGGGTCGACTCAAAAAAATGTGTAGCTGTGCCTTTCATACCACACAGAAGATGATGGTAATTACTTTTGGACCCACTGAGTTTAATTACTAAGTAATCTCAGTTTATAAAGCTTATAAAACTTGTAAAGCTTATAAAGCTCAGTATATAGAGCTTATAAAAGGTTGGCTGACATTCATTTAGAAATGAAAGAAGAAATGTTCTCTTCGTACTCTCGAGTGGGTACTGAATGCAGGGCAAAGCCTGAGATGCCTGAGATGCCTGCAGAGGGAACTCAAAATCCTTTCCCATCTGACTTCTGAATCATTTCAAACACCTTCACTTTCATGAATCCCCGTAACAGGAGTCCCTAGCAAAACAGAGACAAATCCACAAAGCTCTACATTCGGTCAGAGGGCTAGGTAGATTTAAATATTAATGTTTAAATTAATAACATTTTGTTGTTCAGAGAGAAAAGCAAGTATAAAAAAAGCATCTCTCACCATTTTCCTGATGTGAAAACTCAATCCCATCAACAGTACAGCGTCGGAATACCATTTTGTTTTCTGTTAGTGTCCCGGTTTTGTCTGAGAAGATGTACTGGATTTGTCCAAGATCTTCGGTAATATTTAGGGCACGGCACTGTATGGGCAAATCTGCCTCTTCATCATAGAGGTCAAGGTCATTGTGAATTAAGAAGACTTGGCCCAACTTGACTAACTCAATGGACACATAAAGAGAAATGGGGATTAAAACCTGAAAGAGAGTTTAAATTCTCAGTGAGGGGTGAGGCAAGTCTCACTGCTTTCTGTCAACAGTGTCCTGGCACAGTTAGGAGTAACTGTGGAGGAACAGTTTTTCCTAGAGACGTATTGCAAGACTGAATAATAATAGTTCAGGGGAGAAAAAAGTACGCCACACACATAACAACGACAGATAAACAGGGACGATAAGTGACAAAATACCAAATGCAAAGGTAGGGCTTTCAGAGGATGCTCTTGCAAAGCACATTTTCTGGGTGGAGGAGCATGCTTGTTCTTACCCTCCTGAAACTCTGAAAGGATGCACTAGCAGAGACTAACTCTTAATGTAAAAAACTTCCACAAGCAATTACTTACTTTGCACACAACATTTCCCACCTGCTATCTTCCCTGCCCTGAAATAACAATGAATTCTTAAGATGTGCAAATATTCTGTTTCAATAGCCAAGAATAGTCCCCCAAAGAATCTCTGAGCAGCTATGACAGTTGTCTTCACATTTCATTCATATTAAAGAAAGTCTGTCCACTTAGCTCTCAGCAGTTACAGCAAGAAATATGGAAAGTAAATGTGACTTTGTTCCCCATCCTGTGAAATGTTCTCTCCCAATTAGGCTTAATCAGACTCAGATATACAGGTATCCTACTTTCAATTGAGCTTCTTTCCTAAACCAGCTGAACCATACCTAGTTATTATTCCCCATTGGCAAAAATGATTTTTGTTTCACTCTTTTCCCGAGATACTGAGTGGCATCCTTTTTTTGGAATTCTGGGCACAGACAGAAGAAAAAAAGCTGACACTTGGATGTAAACATCCTCTTTATTGCATAGGCTAGTGATTCTGGAGTTATTTAAAAATATAATGCCCTTCTTTCCTATGTCCTTGTGGGGTTGCAACAGCAAGAAAGAAAAATCTACAGGAAGGAAGGACAGGAGGATGGAAAGATGTAAAAAAAAAAAAGAAAAAAAGAGAAGATATATTATTCCACACCTGGATGATTTGCAACACTCCTAGCAGTATTTTCAAATAGGATTAAGACGGTACTGCGCAGCTATTAGTTGACATTAATTGTTTGTTAGTGATTATAGTCAGTTTTGAATAGCTTATTCCTTAGAGGTAGCAGAGGTTTTTGTCTTTTACCTGCAGCAGGATTATCATTGTCAAGAACATGTAGAAACCAGCGAGAACAGGAGGTAGAAAATTGCCATTCTCATCTGGGACATCATAAGGTGGATGCTTTGAGAAGTTTCCAGTCCAAATGCCATGCCCTGCAGGAATCACATGCAGTATTGAAACACGCGGAGCAGTAAGGTGATTGAGTTTCTAAAATTTGCAGATACGGACTGCTGCAATCATTAAAAAGAACAGTTCCTGAGCAATGCTGTAAAACTACTGGGGAATGTAAAGTACATGCTGAGCTCACATGTATATAATTGATCTGCAAGTAAGAAATGAGTGGTCGTGGAGGTTTTAACTCACCTTTCCTGCTAGGAAATGCAGGTTTTTCCTATGTAACAACGACACCTTCTTGCAGCCTGCTGTAAAGTGACTTTTGAGAAGGAAGGAAGATGTGGAGACTACAAACTGGATGACTTAGTCATGTGCAGCTCATGGACTGTAATTTGGGTAGCTCTGGCTAGCATCATTCCTGAATGTATTAGAGGAAGATGATACTGAAGTGAAGGTAGAGCTGCAATATTTTCCTTTTGTTGTTATACACAAGGAACAAACATCCACTCCAGCGCAGATCTTGGTTAGCAAGTACCGATGCCTTTAATGCACTAACCTAACGGCTTTCCCTTGTTTTACAAATGTTTTATCACAGTGGAGATGGGTTTTAGATGAAATGTTTATAGCCATGAATGAGTTTTCTTCCATCTGAATTTTTCATATTTGCCAATTTAATTTGTTTATTGGAAAGAATACGAAGCTTAAAGAACTCAGGAGCATTTAGCTCTAGATCTCACATCTCTTAAGATCAGTTTTAACCACCGTTTAGACAATCCAATGAAACAGAAGAAGATTTTTGCCAGTGCTTCATACCTACAGCTCCAACAAGACACATCACGAACAGGAGTCCCACACATACGAAAATATCCGTATTCATCCGTCGCTCTATCTTGCTGCGCTTGTAACGAGGACCGTTGTTATTTAACATGGCCTTAGTTTCATGACCTTCAAAACACAAATGAGTATCATCATACTTACATAATATTTTGTAGCTTGGCTGTTTTAAATGGTATTTCTCTCACAAAATGAAAGCAGGATGCTGATGGCTAATGTTGATTTGACTCAACTTTCATTCAGTAATTTTATTGCCCATCTTCTCATGTGACTGAATAACCCAACATATCAGAGACTAAATCGAGAGGTTTATGAAAGATCTCTGTTATATTACAGATTTCAGCTGTTATACACGTTTTGCTTTCACAAAGACAGCAGATTCAGTAGGATCACGAGGTTTACATCAATGTTCTAAAGCCAAATCTCCTTGAGAATAAAAAGAAGAAGAACAGGAATATTACAGTTTTGTATTCTATACACAACTTGATTTGGTGCTATACATATTCCTGAAACCTGCATTTGGGTATTTTTCAGCAGCTATATAAAAGCCACTAGATACATTTAATGTATTAAATTAAATAAAATCCAACATGTCAGATCCAACAGTGAAAGACGCTAATGTTATTTAGTCTTTCATTGTGTGGTTGTAAAGTGCTAACAAAACAGTAGGACAAGAAATAAAAAACCCACCCAATCCTTAGAATTTACTGAGTTAGAATTGAGCTAGTATATTTGTAACAGAAAAAGAGGAGTGTTATAAGGAGCCAAGAAGCAGAAATTGCTTTTTCTATTCTATTAATGTTATCCAAACTGTTGCTCCACAATTGAGATATCTGGATACCATCTGTTGCTACATTAAATGGTATTTTTATGTTTATTTCTACAGTTCTTTTCCCTGAAAACATAGACCCAGCTTGTATTTAGTTCCTATTTGTACATGCATGATGAGAGGGGCTGTCTTCCAAGCTACCTTTTGGCTTTCTCTAGGGAAGTGGTTTGAACCAGAAGCTGGAAGTTAGGTGCGATTCAATCACACCTGCTGGATTAACTCCAAACATACATCAAAGGTTATTAATTGAGGCAGAGAGCGAGAGAGGAAATTACTCTCCAGCCTTATGTTCAGGACATCCACCCAAGAGCTGGGACTCCTGGCTTCCTGTTTCAAGGAGTGTGCAATTATTTACACAACCTGGAGCTTCGTCGGTGGGACCAGCTTATAGTACAAGTGCTCCTGCCTTTCCAGTTTGCGTCTCTGCACATACCTGTTCCTCCCACACCGTCAGGTACTCAGGGTACAACTTGTGAAGCAAGAGATGTGTGTTTGCTCCCACATACGCAGAACCACAAACAATACCCAAGCCTTCCCTTCGGTGAACAAATGCTCTAACCATGAAGCTTCACAGAAGAAGAAGCGCTGCTTTTGCTTCGACTCCTCTAGCAGCTGTGTGAATCTTGCTCCCCACTTTCTTTTTATGTCAGGCCTAATGGAGCATTTTGTGTTGAAAACAAAAGAAGATAAAACCCTCTAATCCCTCCTAGAAAACCCTCAAGGAAATGGTGGATATTTTTCAGGAAAATGAGAAGAGATCGCTTTCTAAGTATCAGCTTTATCATTCCCTTCCACTTCAGCTGACCAACAGGAAAACGATGCATCTGTGATACAGGTACCACTTCGCAAGAAGTAGAATATTGGAAATAAGGAAGGAATGACTTTGTTCTCCTCTGTCTCTCACAGCTTTGTATGCTGTGCAACACAGCACCTCACCTACCACCCCACTAGGACCTTATCTCTCTGTTTCTGGATGCTGATGGACTTTTTAAAAACCTTATTCTGGTGCTTTATTATTTGAAAAGCATATGATTCTTGCTGCTGCCCCTATCACAATGAGAAAACTCCATGGACTGTCGCTCTGTAATGAGGTTTTTGTGCATTAGCGTTATTGCTTTGTGTAGAACGGTTTGGGTAGCCATGAAAAGTCTAACCAGATTTGGGTCAGATGAGACCTGCACAGGCTAGACAATCACGTTAAGTGATCGCTGTGCTCTTCACAAGGGCTTCCATTAGAAAGCAAGTCTGAGGAGTAATAGAGTTATAAAAGTGGTGCATGTGCCATCTTATTATGTGACTGGTCTTGACTGTTCAGAAGAGGTCCCAGACCATGATTAGAAACCAGAGTATATAATCTATCAGGGAACCCTAGAAATTAAGCTGGTACTGGTTCAAGCAAGTCTAATTTTAGAGGAAAAAGAATAAACTTTTATACTGACATTAACAAGAAGATGTCAGGTGGAAATTGAATTGAAGACTTAGTACCTTGAGAATGACTTTAAAGCAACATTAGGATCTGTGCTGGTGGTGAAAGAAACACGCTGGGAAATTTTGGCTAAAGAGAAGAAAAATAAGAAACCTAGCAGGAGAAGGGAAGGTAAATTAATTCCATAGGCAATGATCCCTACAGAGATATTTACAGAGTAACTACTTAAAAAAAAAAAAAAAGTGATGACTGTGGTTCTGGTTCTCCTCTGTCTGGTAGGCACCATGTTCACACGTGGTGTTCAGAGAGACGGGCAATGAAAGACCCACAAAGCGAAGGCTATTTTGGAAATACATGGAAGGTAGAATTATTTAAAGTCCACTTCTGCAGTAGTAATACAAAATGATTGGGCGTCAGGCAAAATAATCTGGATTGTGGAGATTAGTCTAAGATAAATGTCTCTTGCAAAGATGGTAACCTCTATATTTTCTCTTTGGTGGCTCAGCCTTGAACCCCTTGTTGCTACACAACTACATGACTACACTGGAAAGATAAAAATAACCAATAATGGGATCAAGTGTTGTGTTTAAATTGACTTTTACTTAATCTACAGATTAAGAGGGTAGTTGATATGCTGTATTTGAAGCAGAAGAGGGCACATCTGGCAAAGCCGGCGATAAATCATGCTCATCGAGTGAAAGCAGTGTTAACACTCTAAAGGTAAAAATTCTGAGAAAAAGATGAACTGACCCACTGCTGAACCTGGCACTGCTGCGTTTGATCTGGGCACTGACACTGTCTTGCTTGGTTCACGTCTCTGCTGCCTGAAATTCATGGTTGCATGGACACACTATGTCTATGTCAGCATAAACCTGTGCTCCTGCCGCCTTTTCTGTCACCTCCAGCTGCTGCTGTCACTGCCTCCTGTGTGCTGGCACTAGCACAGCTTGGCTTTGTGATGATTTTTTTTTTTTTCTGGGTAGATCTTCAGCTGCATCAATTTCCACCCTAAGGAGCCAGGGAGACCTCCCTTAGGGCAGCTGTGTAGATTTTATGCCAGATAGAATTAGTATTATAATTAGAGCTGCAGAGCTGAGATTTAAACTCACCTTAGCAATTTTTTACTTGTCTGCATATTTTTGCAAGATGCTGCAAAGATAACAAGATATTTGACATGTATGGGAATATGGTCACTTGCCAGAGACTCAGCATGGGACTTGCTGGCTTTAGAGATGGCTGAGTAATACCTTTACTTGAAAAAGTTACATAATTCTGCCATGCACTACCAGTTCTTAAAAGAAAATACCATATTGCGATGCAGTATTAGACTATACATATTTACTATAGGGCATTTACAGGGAAATTCTGTGTTTACCTAGACAGAAAGTACATCTTACCTGCATATATAACAATTCCTATTGCAGCCTCAGTATTTCTGATTGTACATCCACGGAGCAAGAGGCTTTCAATGTTAAAACCAATCCGCTCATGATTTGGCTGCTCCCTAGAAGAAAGAAAACAAAAGAAAGCAATGCCTTTGTACATGTGTCTGTTTCAAGATGAAATCAGAAAACTGTGAAGGAAGTTATAGGAATGAGCCTCATTTTGCTTGCATTTCCCTCAGCTCCAACAAAAACTCCAGTAAGAAATTACAGAGAAGTGCAAGTATCTCCTTTTAAAGACTGCTCTCATGGTGTGCGTCTCCCAGTGTCAATACAGAGAAAGACTGGCTTTCACTTGGTGCCTTATCTGGCAGATTCAATATCTCATAAATGAAGCCAAGATACATTACGTGACTTCATTCAGACACAATGATTTTAGAAAGCTGAGCAGGGTTTGCCTGCTGGTAGAAGTTCAGAAGAATACATCTGCACCCTGCAAGGGCCTCTGTCTCTCTGTCAGTCACCAAAGTCATCTTCATGAACCTCGGTTTGGTGGAACAGTCTCTAGGCTGAGGGTCTCTTCCTCACTCTCAGGCTGGGCAGAAGACCCTTCATCCTGGCTGAAGGTGTCCTATCACACACCAGCTCTTTCTGCTAGCAGAACAGCCCGATGAAAACTTAACGGAAACTATAAGGTCAGTGCTCCATCAGGCAGGCAATTTGTTACTTGCCTCTGGAAACGAAAGCTTAAAACTACTTTTGCTCACAGTTTTTATTAAATACCCTGGTAGACTCCTCCTGAGATCTTTACAAAAGCTGACAGTTTTCACATCAGTCACTCCATCTAGATTTGTTATGTAAATATCACAATAGATTTTTTTCAGAATATATACCTTTTCCTACATCCTGTTTGATATCTGGCATTGCATTTACCAGTAAATTGTAGTGTCACTTAAATGGAGAGCAAGGTTAGGTGCTCTCTCAGGGCTAAGTACAGTCCTGCGCCCGTGATTACATAACATCAAACTAAACAAAAAGGTTTAGGTGCCATCAACCTACAGCTGGTAGAACTGTAAAAAAAAAAAGATGCCAGAAACTTGTTTTTCTGGGAAGCTAGATTAAGCCTTGGTCAACTCATTTAATAGAAGCCTTCTTGCATCCGCTTGAACAGAATTCACTCTGGCCAGGCATGTCAGGTGGATGTCATCAAATTCTTTCTTATAATTTTGAGCAGAGAGAGTACTGCTACCATTTTACAGCAAGGCAAGAGAATCTCAATAATTTATTAAGGGTTCTTGGAGAAAAATGTAATGTGCTCCAAGTAATTTAGCTCAATAGCTCATATAACAGCAGACCCAAGTCAGAAACTCCACTGAGTGCTGGTAGCTTTCACTGGCAAATTCTTTCACCCATGAAGTGGGGAGAGAAAGGCAGCTAACTCCATATTCCACGAAGCAGGTGAGGTAGCAGGCATTTCCAAAATGTCATCAGACTTTCAGCAGAGATTTGAAGATTCCGAAATCAGGTCCTAAGGGTGTGTATTTGTATATGTTTTCTTGTGACATAGGAGTTGCATTTCTATAATCTCAGTGCCCTTGTGCCACATTACAGCCAGCTAACTGGAAGGATTGCTTCAATTCCAGTTATACCCAGCGGTCCACAAAGCCAGCAACCGCAGCCTGCGATCAATACAAACTTGACCTCTTTTCCCCTTTTAAGATCTCACAGTAGAAGGGTAATGGCATTGCTATTAGAGTTGTCATTCTTCCAGGGCATAAATTCTCAAGACCAGATAGAGCACTGTCTGGGGCAGCAGGTATTTTGGACGATTCTCTGGTGTGGTGTTGGGAATTTGCATGGACCAACGACTGCTCCGAATAGGGTCTTGTGAAACAGCTGTCCTGTGTTGGGGGCTAAGAGAATTTTAGGGCATGAAGCATGCCAACAAATTGCCCGTACAGACAGGGATTAGGCTTAAATCCATTGAATTCACTAGGATAAATTTCCCTGTTATGCCTGTGCCAGAATTATTTAATGAAAAGAGAACATAAAGAACAGAGTATGTGGCTTTTTCCTGACATACATAGGTTTACATACACAAAAGCATTTTTTTAGACTAGTTTAAAACATTGGTTCAGTATAATTTTTCTTGTTTGCTTGCTTTTTTCTAACTGTAAGAAGAAAATCTGATTTGTTTGTTAGATCCCACATGCCTTTTCCCTGTGGCCGTAAACATGAAGAAACTAGAGCCATGCAGCTGAATATCTTTAAACATGAGAAAGGATTTAGATTTAACATCTAGCCTAACCCAGCCCACAGCTCAAATGCAAATGAGCTTACATCTGAACTTTGAAAAGAACTGAAGCCTTGTGAAAACAGCATGAAAAAAGTGCAAATTCGATGTCAAGCCTTAGTTCTGCCTTGCCTCAAAACACAGATTCCAGTCTACATTTTATATTGATTTCTGAATCCAGGAATAGATAATAGTGACATTCATCAGCTTCTGCAAAATACGTTCCTTTTTCCTCCAGTAGAAATATTAAAGCTCAGACCCAAAATGCATTTCTGGATAACAAATACTTACATGTACCCTTTGAATTTATTGAGATCATTGTTAGGCATTTCACAGACGATGGTGTTTTGGAATAATTCAGGTTCAAACAAAGTATTCTGCAAGAGAAAACACACTGAATGAGTGGTAAATGCAATGAGTACTCAAAATGATAAACTCCAAGAGAAACTAAACGTCAGTGACCAGGATAGTTGGGTGCTGCAGTACTTGCTGCACGAGGAGAAGCAGAGGGAATTGAGCTGGTTCAGCCTGAAGCAAAGCTTCAGAGGGGCTGAGTAAGGATCTGAGATTTCCCTCTCTTGGATTAACAACTAGTTAAATTAAATGGACAAAATGCTGTGTATTGGACAAGGCATCACACATGCCAATTAGTGAAAACATTTGTCTTAAAGTGAATGTAACAAATAGTTCAAATTATTCATGAATGGAAACCAGCCTGCAAAAAAAAGCAAGATAACATTAAATTAATTTCAGGATTTACCAGGATTTAAAAATATGTTAGAAGAGTTATGTTACTGGCCAGGATGGTATAATCATAAAACAAACATATCGTATTCAAATAAGATTAAAAGCAATAATAATGGTAAAAAAACCCCAAACCCAACAACCAAATGAACAAACAAACCCAAAAGAGGGGAGGCCGTAGTCTAAGACCAAATTGCTGAGAGAGGCAAAACAAGACAGAGCTCTTCAGGGTAAGTACTCCGTCAAAAAGAGCTTGGACCTGAACTGAGACACATGGTTTTGCTTGACTTCTGCCACGTTCAAGGAGACGGGCTCGAGTTTGGAGTGCAGGAAGGTGTCCAGCAAGCAAGCATCATGGGAGGTACTCAACTGCCCTAAGTCGTGGGTTTTTCTCAGTGAAAAAAAGGAGAAAAAATTTTGGTTTTAGATTGAGGAAATGTAATAAAAATGGGATGCGAGAAATGAGAACAATAATTGCCGTACCATAAAATCTTCAAAAGAACTGGAACTCATTTTAGTCTAAACTCCTCCCATTAGGAAAGCTGGAAATGAAGTCTGCTGCTGGGCCTCTCTACCTTCTTCTACAGCAAGAGAGACTTTCAGAGATTAGACTCCTTCAGAAACTGCAAATCCTGAAAATGCTTCACTGGAAATCCCAAAAACTTTGCCAGACAGCAAGAAGATTTCCTTACACTGCCAGTCCTCAAGCCTCAATTATTTTCCTTACTGTACTTTAATTGTTACATTATTTTCTCTCTCCTGTTCTTTTATTTCTGAACAATATGTATATATGTATTTAAATTAAAATATAATATCTTAGTACAAGCCAGTGGAAAATCTGATCTAAAAAAGATGCTGGAGAAAGTATAAAAGCGTGATGAATACAAGGGCATTTTGTATACCTTCTGACCCACGTGGCTGAATATTTTTAGAATCTCTTTAAATAGATACGGATTCATATCCACTGAATCTTGTTCAACTCAGTAAATTCATCAGGAAAGTCAGTACATATTTGGTTTTGCTAGAAACATTGCTACAACAGGAGAACAGGAAAATGCAAAAGGCACTGGACTGCACGTCAATAACAAAGAAAACTAATACGCTTCTAGCTAGAAAAGGGGAGAAGACGATTCTTCGCTATTTTTTTTCTTTGATGATAATAATTTTACATTTGAAAATTCAAGTTAAAAAACAGCATAAAAAGGAAAACATAATTCTTCTCTCTCTGTGTCTTTTACAGGTAGGTGAATTTAATGTTCCTCAGCATATCCTAAAACAAAGAATGTATGTTCATACTTATTTCCTCCCTCCTTAAAAAGTCACCCTTTATAGACACAATTAAGGAAGTTACACACAGCACATAAATTACAAAACTAAACAAAGCTCAAAGAACAAGGAAGAAGTCAGCACCCTAAAACCTGTGCATATGGTATTTATTATAGGTTTATTTTTAGCTCAAAATCTCAAAGTCTAAAGAAAAATATGACCGTGAATAGGCATAATTTGATACGCGGGGATTTTCTAATTTGAAGAGACTTCCTCTTACTATAAATGGCCGAGATGAAAATTTGCATTCTGTACGACAGCAGAATGCTCCGTTTTCCTCCGAAACAGAAACTACAATATCTAATGTGAAAACTATCAAGTGACACAAATGCAACGTTTTCATTTTTCCTATTTAAGTAGCCAATTTGTGCTTTGGTGTTTTGTTTTGTTTTGGTTTTTTTTCCCCCCTAATCTTCCTTTTTATACAGTCATCCCCGTGCCAGAACAACAAAGATCTTTCAGGACCAACTGTTGCTTTCCATACTGGTCTTTAGGACCAACGGCAAAACATTTCCGTAGCCATACGAGCACAACGAGCCCATTGGAACCCGGGGTGCTTCACGGCTGGAACTGGTGTGCGAAGGGACTCAGCCCCATGCTGGCTGCGTTCTCAGCAGACTTACGTGGCCGGAGAAGCCCATCACGACTCGTCTTTGCTTGAGGTTGGTCTCCCCGTCGAGGTTGGCGGTTTCCAGGTGACAGATGCCGCTCTGATCGGAGGAGTGCAGCAGGAGGATATCCGCCGGGATGGTCTCGTTGCACTGCAGCTGCACAAAGTCCCCCACCCTCACGTCCTTCCAGCACTTCTCCACGTAAGCATGTTCTTCCCTGTTGCATTAAAAACATGTCATGGGTGAAGAGTTCTGGTAGGAAAGCAGGCCTCCTGCTTAGTGGGGCTTCAAAAAAAGAAAGAAGGGGGTGGTGGTACATTGCTGTATTTTTTTTTCTAAAGACACAGCACAACAGCTAGAAATAAATAATCAAGACTCATAATGTCACCTAACCATATGTCACATTCAAATAATCTCTTTAGGTGGGATAAACTGCAACTCTTTCATTCTAGAATTACTTGTATAGTCTCCACAGCAAAAGGTAAGAAGTTGTTCAGAATAAGAGGTGTTCTATAGTATCTTATTCAAGAAATTTAGACATTTCACCTCCAAATATTAGCTTTGACTATGTGACTATTTCTCAGATACTTTCCAACAGCAGCATATAGATCCTAAGAGAAACCAAGTGATATCTTCATTACGATTGCTTCAGGTCTTTCCACTTTGTAACTCCCAAAACGTAATTAAAAGCCTTCAGCTTAGCACATAGAAACAACTTCAAAAAGTAGAACAGCAGACAAACGGCCCCTTAATATTAGAAAATACGTCCAAGTTTAACAGAAAAATCAGGGTAAGAAACAAAGTGCTTCTAAATTTTTTTTTAAATTTTTTTCTTTTTCTAAAAAAAAAAAAAAGGAAGAGACAATGGGGTCAAAGGAAAGAAATTACTTTTTCACCAACAAACCAGTGCTCAGTGGTTCAGGAAACAGCAAACTTCCTATGACATTATATTTTCAATGACTGATCCTTCAACTGCTCTTAATCATGTAAGCAAGCTGAAAATTGCACAGTAAGCATTAAAGTTATTTCATGGGAAAACTGCGCGGGCAACAATGGCCCAGTTCCCCTAACTCTTTGAGAGGGATTTTTTTTCAATGTGAATAACTGAATCATCTTATGCCTTGCCCTGCAAGAGGGGAAAATACTCATAGTACTTCACCAAACAGACAGGAAAAGGCTTTTGGGAATCCTAGAACGGCCTCGGCTGGAAGGGACCTTAGAGATCATTTTAATCCAACCTCCCTGTCATGGGCAGGGACTCCTCTCAACTAGATCAGGAAACACATGGGGACCGAATGGGGATCGAACCCGCGACCTTGGTGTTATCAGCATCATGCTCCAACCGACTGAGCTAACCGGCCCCGTTTGGCTCTCATCTATTGCCAGAAGAATACTGCCTTTCAGTTAAGTGTCTGTACCACGAGTAGGGGGCAGGATAAAGTGTTTTGCTGCAGTTCAAAGGGCAGATCGTGCCATCCCCCCGGAGTCAGGCCAAAGGCCCCACCCGCCTTCCTGGCCCTCGGTACAGGAGAGTTAGCGCCGAGGCTTCCTGGAAAACCTTCACGCTTGGCTGACACCCTGATCTGCACAAAGACACGCAATAACAGCTCCCTGCAAAGGGTATGCTTGCACTTCAGTTCTGTGCATTTCCCAGCCACATCCACTTTTTATTCAAAAAAAAGAGAACACAACTCCCCCACAACCCACCTAGTTAAAGCCCCTCAATGGCAAATGTGAGGTGTTTACTAAATTACGGTATAGTAGCAATAATTTTTCCTTCCTACATTAATTTTTCAGTCCTGAATTTTTCATTCCTGAATTTTTCATTCTTCTTTCTTCTTTGGCTGACTCTACTTAGCTGCATGTCCTTTCTTCTTTTGCTCAACAGCAGACAAAAAAGACCACACTGAAGAACAGAGCTTTGTTGTGAGTTAATTTGATACTGCTGCACATTTAAATAAAAAATTCCCTATCATTTTCTATTTGAAAAGTATTTAAGCAGGTGTGTATAGATTATTTATGGCTGTACAGAGTAGGTACTAATGTTAATATAGCAAATCAACTATGTAGCTATGAATCCTTCCCATGTCAATTAATTTCTGGGTAGAACTTTGGAATATGTTTGTCTAAAACATAAAAAAGAGAGTACAGAAGCAGTTTTAGAGCAAGTAGATGGCTTGCCTTTTTAGTCTAGATGTGCCATTCTAGTCTTCTGGATGTGCCATTCTAGTCTTCTGGATGTCAAGTCTAGTTTGCATGCAATGTTTTTTATGACTTCTGCAGGGTAATCCTAACTTTCTGTACGTCAACTCTTGCACAATTCTGAAGTTTACAGAACACACTTCTGATTTTTTTCTGCTGGTAAAATGATATAGAAAGGCCTTGTCCATCTGGCCATCTTCCACATCAGCCTGAAGAAAGCAGGTTAGCAAAAATAATCCATGGAAATCACAAATTTTTAATGTTCTTTCAATAATTCCCTATGAAACACACATTACACATAAAGCTTCAGGTTCTGTCTGTTCACTAATTACAGAGGAGACAGTGAGTCAGAAAAGCCAGATGACCTCTCTTAGATCCAAGGAGCAGCCTTACTTACACAGGGACGAGAGCTCAGGAATTGCTAGAATCCCAAACCTCCAACCAGGAGAACAGCCTGGCCCTCTCTCTCAAGGAGCATTGAATTAAGAAATACATTTTCTGTTCCAGAAAGGACTAGACATTAACAATTTCCTACAGCACAAAAGTTTTCTATAATTTCCGAGGGAAATACCAAGGGATGAAAGGAAGAAAAGTACTTCATAAGGAACCCAGAGCACCCCACAGCAGCACTGGCTCTGTTGCCTGACAGAATTTTTCAAATGAAGCACTTTCCTTTTATGGATTCCTTTAACTGGGAACGCTGCCCATCTTCTCTTTAGTGATTAAAGTTCACGGCACAAGCTCTGGTTGCTAGATAAACAGCAGAAATCATAAATCTAGGATGGTCTGATGAGAAACACATAACAAAGGCAAATGCATTTATAAAATAAATAAATAAACAATTCATGGTGATTTTCCACAGGTGGAAAGCTGCAAATTTGATACTTACAGCATGTGGCATCAGGCCTGTGGCGTGTCAAAAACGTGATCTAAGATAAAAGTTTCTCAGCACCTTCTCTCCTTTACCAGTCAATTTATTAAGAGCACACCTAAAAAGTGTTCCCTTGCTGTCCTGGGATAATGGGTAGCATGATACTGCCCATCAGGGGACAGTGCTGACAAAAAGAGGCCGTTTGCCTCGAACAGCTGAAGTGAAGCCTGCCAAGATCAGTTATTGGACTCATCATATCTGACCAGAAAGCCTGAACTAAAGAGGTTTTATGAAGTAGTTTCTGGGAAGAAAGGATCATAAAAAAAGAATCCTGTGGTGGTTGGAGATTGCGGGGGAACATGAATAAATTATTGACTTTGTGTCAACTGTTTCGTTTCACATTTGGGCATTCGATAAAGATAAATCCCCAACAAAAACTGGGTCAAAATGGATGGCGAATGAGAGCAAATAAAAATTATTGTTCTGGTCCCCAGAGGACATTAAATAAAAGTCATTTCTCATGTGCACTCCACAGCATGCCTATGAGCCCTAGATTGTCTTACAGAACGATCTTCAGAAATCTTTACTGCACAGAAGCATCGTATCAACCAATTAGTTCAGTGAATCTTATTTCCTTGAATTACTGCAAGCTCTGTCTCAGGATCCTTTGCAGCTTGAAGTAAAGACATTGCTTGCTCTACCTTTCACCCCCTAAATTGTCCTAAGGTTCTGACACTTAGAAAAAAAATAATATCAGTGTCACAAACAGACTCAATCAAATGTTTACACTTTATCATATGTAAATTTGCTAGAAAGATAGATTTCAAAATGGTTACTCTCAAGCATCATCTACCTTGTAAAAAATACTATTCAAATTCTGCAATCAATTCCAGTTTATGTGAATTTTAAGTACCAGAGCTTTATAAATGTGTTATATGCCCATATATGAGATTTTGGTTTTTTTTTAATTTGCCTTTTTCAATCTCCGTATAGGTTTTACAGGGACCTGTGCCAAATGAAGAAATAAAAGCAAAAAGTATTTTGAAAACACATTTGTTTAGACTTTACCGTGTTCGTTTTGTAAATTATGATTTATTTTTAATTTATTATTACGATTATTTTTTTTTAATACTGCTGCGAACTAAAGGCTATTGCTACATTTCCGCCTGGCACCAGCTGGAGTGAACAGGTAACTCCAAGGTCACTTACTGAACGACTGCTGATCATTAGCTTTAGTTTCTAAGGACTTCCAGTAATTTACCAAGTTTCTGGAAGCCACAGCCTAGATCAGCTCTTTTGCTACAGTCATCTGCTTACACGACCAGGTAGCTCTTGAGGTCACACAGTAGAAACTCGCTTCTCTCCGGGTTTTAATGGTGCTTTAAAAATTCAGACAGTTATGATGGAACTCAGTGCCATGAGGTCATGATTCTGCAGGTCTCTGAGCCAAAACCATAGGTTCTCACTTGTCTACCCTTTGTCTTTCGTCATTAGCACCTGCTGCTGTCTGCTAAACCACCGCACCTCTTCCGTGAAGCAGCTTTAAATGCCTTGGCAGGTAATAGATCTTGAAGAAAGCTCTGATAAAGCAATACACAAACCAGTGCTAGCATTAGTAATGTATTTATGGATTTTTCTTCCACAGAGACCAAGGATCCTCGCCGTAGCAATAGGCACTGACTGACAAGTGCTGCCAGCTCCCTGCTCTTGGACTTCAAAACGCTGCTGCCTGGACCAGCTGAGTGTTGAAAACTTGATAATTGTTTTTAGCATTTAGTCAGTTCAGCACATCAAAAGTTTCTTCACCACACAACCAGCATGCTCACCACAAGAGGAATTAATGTTCCGATTATTTCTTCACAATTTTCGTACCACTGGTTTCAAGCAGTCGCACGGTGCCGTAAGAAACCTGAGTGGCTGAGAGGGTTAAGGCCATTTTCTCAGCTCACTGGAGGTTTGAAGAATGCCTCAGCTTTGCACTCTTTGTTCCTTCAGTAAAACCCACTGTTAATTTGGGTTTCTGTAGTTAAACTAGGTAAAAAAAATTCCAGAGTACCAGAAGTACATACGAAAGTTGTACGTGTGTCAGAGCAGAGGATGCCCACTGCCAGTGGCAGTCCCACACAGAGAATGATGTTGTCATT